TCCCTGCAGATTCCAGGAAATCCCTCGGCATAGCGGGCTAGAGAGGGAGGGAGGGAGAGGGAGGGCGGGGTGGGAGGGGGAGGGACGGAGGCTGGGAGGCTGGGAGGAGAAGTGGGGGGCAAGGAAAGGGGAGGGGGGGGTGGAGGGCAGGGGGAGAAGGAGTGGTGGAGGGGAGGGGGAGAGGGAGAGGCTGCAATACGCTCACGGGCGAGTATGATAATAAGACCCACTTTGCGTTGCCTTTTCCCCTTATTTAGAGCAATTACGAGGAAGCTGAAGTGTGGTGGGTGGGATGACCCCCCCTCCTCCCCTCTCCCCCCCCCCTCTAATCCTTCTTCCTATCTCTCCTTCCTCCTCCCTCTTTCTTCCTTCTTTTCTCTCCTCTCCCCCTTTTTCTCTCTTCTTCCCCTTCTTTCCTCTCCCCCTCTTTCTCCACTCCTCCCCTCTCTTCCATTCACGTTTTCTTCCCTTCTTCCCTATCCTCTTCTTTCTCCTTCTGCCTCTCCTCTTCCCTCTTATCCTCCGCCTCCCTCTTCCTCCTTTTCTCTCTTCAATTTCCTCTCCTATTTCCCTCTTCCTATTTTCCTATCCTATTTCTCTCTCTCCTCTTCTATCCCGCTCTTTATCCTCTCCGTTCTCCCTTCCCCTTCTCCATCTCCTCTTCTCTATCCCCATCCTTTCTCCCTACCTCCTTTCTAACCATCTTTCTCTCTCTCTCTCTCTCTCTCTCTCTCTCTCTCTCTCTCTCTCTCTCTCTCTCTCTCTCTCTCTCTCTCTCTCTCTCTCTCTCTCTCTCTCTCTCTCTCTCTCCCTCTCTCTCACCCTCTCTCTCTCTCTCTCTCTCTTTCACCCTCACTCTCTCTCTCTCTCTCTCTCTCTCTCTCTCTCTCTCTCTCTCTCTCTCTCTCTCTCTCTCTCTCTCTCTCTCTCTTCTCTTCTCTTCTCTTCTCTCCTTTCTCCCTGTCCCGCCCCTTGCCCTACTCTCTCTTTCTCCTCTCCTTCTTCCCTCTCCTATCCTCTCTCCCTCTTCTTCTTCTCTTCTGCTGCCCTCTCTCCTTCCTCTACCCCCCCCCCCCCTTCCCTCTTGTCTTGTGACCAGCTGGGGAACGTTTATGAAAATTGGTTGCGTGCGTGCGTGTGTTTGTGTCTCTCGTGACGAAGGGACATGCTTTGCTTCTCTCGCCACGTTCTCCTCTATCACTCATCATTATTATCGTCTAAATGTGTCACTTGTCTGCACAATTCTCGAAGTTACGTCATTAATTGAAATTGGCGTTGGTATTACTGTCATCAACTGACGTTTCGTTGTTGGTAACATCACCAATTCGTCTACTTTCATAATTGTTATACTTTTCATAATTATTTTTCATATCCTCTTTAGCACGATATTATTATCCTATATCATATCATATCTTTCTATAATTGTTCAGTAATTTTGTCATCCATATATCATTATTGCCATAATCATTATTATTTATCGTCATTAGCGTCAGTAATATTTTTGGTATCGTTATACATAATGTTATCATACTTATTATCATTATCCAAAGATAGGCATCATCTAACAATAATAATTT